GATGCTGCATATCTCTAGTCTTTGGCTGCATCCATTGCATCCGACATGTTTTGACACTGACACGCCCCCAACTCGGAAACTCTGGGTTTAAAGAAAATTTTGAGTTTCCCACTCGTAATATCGGCTTTGTGGTGACGTTCATGTGCATTCAACTCATAAATAAGATCTATCCGACATGACTTGAATGCAGCATAACTCACCCAAACCTGTCAACAAGGCTACTTTATATGAATGTGAGTGCATTAGCAGCTAGTTTTTAAATCGCAGTTGTTTCATATATGAGACGAGAACAAGACTCCAGCTGGTGATGAGGACGAAACCAGCATATCCAGTGCAAGATGGATTTAACTATTTAATTTTACTTAATATTTTATTTATCTGTCATAATGAAGATAACTTTTTGATGGATATTGGTTTACTTCTGGCCTTTTTGAGCACTTCAGCTTAACTAAGACATTAGTGTTTGTAGATGTTGAAGAGGCTATTGTGTCAGCCTTGATTTATTGTCATTTTGATATGTTCAGTTTTATTTTGATTTTAGAAAATAAATATGATTGCTGTCCTCACAAATCAGCTGTTTCTTGTTTTTCACTAGCATGTCGCTTAGGTGTTGAGGACTAGTGCATCTTTGATCCTACATTCAGTATGAGTAAAAAACTTAAGTACTGTCAAAATAAGATACACTTCATTTTCACTGTAAGGTATCTGTACTTTTATTCAAGCATTCTTTTCAGGTACTCTTTACACCTCTGATATTCAGGATGGATTTTCAATGCAAGGATTTTTTAAAATAGAAACAATTGCATTCTTTTCTTTTTTTTGGTCCCATTTACGCTTCACCTTTTATACACATAACCTTTTACATACATAAACAGTGCATTTCCTTTATTAAAAACGTTTTCTAATTAACCTCTAATAACAGCAGTATATTTTAAAAACATGTCTTGCCTTGATTGCTTTTGTAAGGGAAACAGGTCAATTTAGCTCAAAGTGAATCATTTAAGATTTTAAAGGGAATTTGGACAGAATCACTGTTTTACGGCTGATCACTGAGACGACCAGCGATTCATTAAACGAGCCGTATAACATCAACTCTGCAATGGACATTTATATTCAAAATTTAGTGAAAACACTATTAATTAGCACAGTAACAAGATCGGCAGTTTAAGACATTAACTTGTAAGCACAAAACACAAGATACTTCTCTTTTCAATATAAATAAGGCTTTATTGGATAAATCTAAGACATATAACTAATCTAACACATGAACACACGCATTCACACAAGTTGCAGAAAGAGAGAAAGTGAGGAAACAATGAGTTTAAGAGAATGAAAATGTGAAATCCCAAGTTTACAGCAATATGTCTAATTGCAAAGACCTAAGCAACCATCAATCACTTAATTAACCATCGCATTGAGTTCCTCAATGAGGTTAAACTTTATATTAAATGCACCAGTTCAGCTAGGATCTGGAGGTACTTGCGTTGCGTTGC